TATTGATACCATGTCTTCTCTGACATGGTGGATTGATTGATTCTACCCTCTGGAGCCATAGCTAAAATCAATTATTTTTTGCTTAGGTTGTTTTTGGTTTTGATGTTCATCATAGCAACAAAAAAGTACTTAATCCACTTCCTTTGCAGACTCTTCAGCTGAACAGTCTCTTTCTCCCTCCTCAGAGAGTGTTTTAGTTGGGGTTGCTATTGCTGTGATGAAACACCATGACCAAAAGCAAGTTGAAGAGGAATAGGTTTATTTGGCCTACACTTCCATATCACTGTTTGTTGTGGAATAGAATAATTGTTTAACTATGTAAAGATGTGTTGCATTTGTTTAACTATGTAAAGATGTGTTGCTGTTTCACTTTGCCTGCCTAAGGCACCTGATTGGTCTAATAAAAAGCTGAATGGCCAGTAGCTAGGAGAGGAGGGATAGGTGGGGCTGGAGGACAGAGAGAAAAGTGGGTGCCAGCCAGCCAGGGACCAGCAGCCAGACACAAAGGGAGCAGGAAGCAGGATGGACAGTACATTATGTAAATGAGGTAAACAAACCTCGGGGCAGCACCTAGATGAATAGAAATGGATTAGTTGAAGTTTCACAAAGACAGCTAGAAACAAGCCTAAGCTAAGGCCCATCATTCATAATTAATAATAAGTCTCTGTCATGATTTGGGGGCTGGCAATTCAAAAGAGCCTGCTACAGCTTCATCATTGAAAGGAGTCAGGACAGGAACTCAAACAGGGCAGCATCCTGGAGGCAGAAGCTGATGCAGAGGCATGGAGGGTGCTGCTTACTGGCTTGCCCCCCATGGTTTGCTCAGCCTGCTTTCTTGTAGAACCCAGGACCATCAGCCCTACAGACTTGTCTACAGCCTGATCTTATGGAGGTGTTTTCTTAAATGAAGTTCCCTCCTCATATGACCTTAGCTTGTGTCAAGGTGTCATGAAACTATCCAGCACAGGACAGCCCCCACCCCAACACACACACACACACACACACACACACACACACACACACACAGACACACACACACACTCAGTGCAATCAGGTTTGCTGACTCCGTGATTTGATTCCCAGGAGGCAAATCAAGAGGCCACTCAGATTCTCAAGGGCTGGCCCAGACTGGACCTTGCCCCCACAGGGACCTGTTGGTACAGCAGGTCACACAGTTGGTCTAGACATCAAAGACAGAGACCGGCCTCCTTTGCTATATGAGGGAATGGGTCCTGGATGCAGACACGAGGAGCTGGTGGTGGTCATATTTAGAGAGTCTTGCACAACTGTGAGCGGCTTTGCACGTGTGTAAAGTCCACAGTTGAGAGTCTTTGCATGGGTGGAGGCCTTCCTGTTGGAGATTCTTCTGGGGCCTCAGAGCAGTCTCACCCTAGGACTCCCAGAGAATTTACCAGTCCTGCCGTAACGGGTACAGTGTGTACCTCAGGAACATTGGAGTTGTGTACAGTGTGTACCTCAGGAACATTGGAGTTGTGTACAGTGTGCACCTCAGGAGCATTGGAATTGTGTACAGTGTATACCTCAGGAACATTGGAATTGTGTACAGTGTGTACCTCAGGAACATTGGAATTGTGTTCAGTGTGTACCACAGGAACATTGGAATTGTGTACAGTGTGTACCTCAGGAACATTGGAGTTGTGTACAGTGTGCACCTCAGGAGCATTGGAATTGTGTACAGTGTGTACCTCAGGAACATTGGAATTGTGTACAGTGTGTACCTCAGGAACATTGGAATTGTGTACAGTGTGTACCTCAGGAACATTGGAATTGTATACAGTGTGCACCTCGGGAACATTGGAATTGTGTACAGTGTGTACCTAAGGAACGTTGGAATTGTGTACAGTGTGCACCTCAGGAACATTGGAATTGTGTACCTGGTCTTCACTTGGCTCTTCCTAGTTGCCAACCAAGACGACACTGCCCTCATTTTCCCTAGGAGGACGCCAAGGCTCAGGATGAACTGGTGCTACCCCTGTCCCACACAGTGCAGGCACCACACAGGGCCTAACAGGTCCTGTCCCTTCCTCCCTCCCTCCCTCCCTCCCTCCCTGCTGAGATGTGACCTGGGGGTCGGGAGACGGGGGGCAAAGCTTAGAGATAGAGGTTCTTGGATTAGCTTTCCTGTGCCACAGCCCAGTTCCACCATGTATGAGGCTTGCCCCGAGACAACGACAACATGTCCCCATGCCCACATGTGTGACATCTGCTGCCTGGGACTCATTGCAGAGATCAGGCTCACAGCAGTCCTGCGTCAGCCTCCCCAGTGCTGGGATTGTGGGCGTGTGGCACCATGCCCGACTTGGGAGTGACATCTTAACATGACTGAGGGCTGGGGGAAGTTCAGAGTGCCGGCTTGGAAAGCACCCAGGCTCCAGGAGTGGAGAAGGTAAATGGATGTGCGTGCATCTGTTCCTTGGGGCCCCAGCTCCTCTGCTCACCTGGGCTGCGCAGCAACCGGTGTCTTCTGGGTAAATCAGAATGTCCCAGAGGCCCATCCCCCTCTCTCTGTTGTGTGACCAGTGTTCCTTTGCAATCCAGTGTCCCACTCAGGTGGGAACACGCTGTTGAGTGTGTCCCTGCTGTCCCGTGGTCCCGACTCCGTTCTGGTGAGGTGTCTCTACATCTTCACCCCACTCCTGTCGCCGCAGATGAGGTGTGGCTCTTCCTTGCATGCCTGAGATAAACTGTAAACTCTGATGGGTGTGGGGCGTGGCTGCCTTCATGGTGATCTGGGAATGAGTCACTTCTGGCCTGACACATCTGGCCTCAGCGTCCTGGCCTTTAATGAAAGAAGTCTTAGCATCCACGGGCAGGGTAGGCCCCTGTGAAGGCTTGCTGTGTCCCCCGGTCCAGCATCTGCTCCCGTCTTCCCGCACGTCGGATCTCCTGGCAGCGTCACCACCCGAGTCTCTCATCTCGTGCTTGGAGCAGATGTCCCGAGTTGTCTCGGAGTGACATCTTTCTGCTTCCATCTGCTGACAGTCTGGCTAGTGAGCTGCTTCATTGGCAGCCCCGAGAGTTCTCCAGAGTTAGGGAAGCCATCAGGCAAATCGGAGATGAAGCCAGCCAGATTTCCCTATGTGTGGCTTTGAAAGCCATGTAAGAGGTTCTCCTAACAAGTTTTGGAGTCACCTCTAAAGGGGCATCAGGGTAGAAGTAAGTGGGTCCTGAACACTAGGTCATTATTATTGTCAACTTGGACATCCAGGTCAAACTTAGGGTCTTTCAAACCCTGTGTGGCCCTAATAAGGCTTCCTTGCCTCCGTGATAAGTAACTGAGAGGACAGACTTCTGCAGGTCTGGAGAGACTTTGGCCTGGCCCCCAAGGGGCAACAGAGGCTCTTACCCAGTGGCTAATTTACTGGTTTTAGATCAGAACTTGAAGCATCTTAGTCTGTTTCTGCTGTTGTAACAAATTGCCCGATACTGGGAAACTTACAAGAACAGAAATTCATGTCATAGTTCTGGAGGCTGGAGGTCAAGGCGCTGGTGGGATCTGTGTCCCACAAATGTGACTATGGCACCATGTCACTCTGTCCTCACACAGGGAAAGGGAGAAAGTTCAATGGGCTCAAACACTCTCCCTCTATACTTTTCCCAAGAGCTAGTTCATTCACGAGGACAGCGCCTTCATTGCCTGGCCGCCTCAGAAAGCTCCCGCCTCTTAATGTTGTCAGGCTGTGGATTAGCTTGGGAAGGGGTGTGGTGCCCTGGCTGAAGTGATGATGTAATTCAACGTTTTCTAAATCAGGTGTAGGGAAACCACCCCCACCTCCACACCTACCTATGGTCCCCATGATGTTGCCCATGTCTGGAGTGACCACCATTCCCAAGCCTGTGCATGTGACTTGCCTAAGCCGCCTAGGTTCTCTGTGCCTAGACTTTTGGCTGGAGGCATGAGAAGAGGAAGAAATGGCTTAGAGCATTCCTTTCGTGATTTTGATCCTTGCGACTTCTGGTGTCCTCATACTTGCCCTGGAACTAGCTCTCTGAGTCTGTTTGCGTCCATGTTTGGTCTCTGGGTGGCTATTGAACTCCCAGAGAAATGCTAATGGGTTCTGAGGGAAGAGACATTGAAAACACTGGCTACGGATCTAGGTGCCCAGCATAGCATAGGAGTGCTAGCATTTTAGTTGACCACTGAAGGGCTCAGAATGTTGAAACTGAGCCTTGATAGCCAAAAATCCACAAGAGCTGATATGAATGAAAGGGTGGGATGGTACTCATCTACCCACCCATCATCCTCCACATACCTACACACCCATCCACCCCTATCCATCAATCCATCTGTTGATCTCACCATCCTCTCTCTGTTCACCGATCCTTCCATCTACCTCTCTCCTTCATCCATCTGTCACCCACCCCTCCACATGTTATCTATCCGTCATCTATCTCTATCAATTCGTCTACCATCCATTCATCCATCTATCTACCTGTTCATCTACACATCCACTTACCTATGCATGAATTCATCAATCCACCCACTCACCCACCCATCTGCTCACCCAGTCACCCACTCACCCATCTATCTATCACCCTGTCCCTCTCTCATCTGTCCACCTATTTACCTACCTACCTCCCAACCCACCCATCTTGCCTCTATTAATCTGCTCACTTAACCTATCCATCTATGTATCTACCCATCCATCTTCTATCCATAAATCCATCCACTGCTCCAACTCTCAACCAGCTAGTCAGCCATCTTCCACCTCTCATAGGGTGAATTACGGCTTTACCCTGCATGGAGTTCTTGGTGTGGTGCCAGGCACATGGTGAATGACCTCCTGGGCATCGCCTTCTGCCCCAGCAGCTTTCAGGCTGTATAGTTACTGCCTCTCCTGTGTCTTGCTAGGGTCCCCTGACATCTGGTAGAGTGAGATGGCCTGTGCCAGCTTCCCCTAGCTGGTAAGCTGCTGGCTGTCAGGGTGGCTGAACTGTGACTTGCCTAATCTCAAACTGTGTCTCTCTCCTCTTTCCAGGGAGTCGGACCTCTTCTTGCTGGACAGCCGTACCCTCTGGGCTTCTGAGGAGGGCTGGCTGGTGTTTGACATTACAGCCACCAGCAACCACTGGGTGGTCAACCCACGGCACAACCTGGGCCTGCAGCTCTCCGTGGAGACCCTGGATGGTGAGTCCCAGACACCAACACCTCTAGTCCCAGCTGGTGCTCCGCCCCCATCTCAACCAGGCTTTCAAGACTAGCTCTTTTCTGAACCCAGCGTATCTTCTCGTATCACAAGAAGATCGGGAGCTGGGCGAGCTGGGACAGAGATGGCCTCACTGCTCACAGTTATCCTGCATCAGCTGGGTTTGCAGTTATGTTGCACATGTAGACTCTCAGGTCCACACAGACTGCTGTGTGAGAACTGCACAAGGCTAGAGCCCTGAGCTGGCATAACACACGCAGCGCAGCAGAGCACACCAGACAGGTTTTTCAGCTTGTTGACCTTGGCACTCCTGGCATCCTGGGCAGTGGAGCATGGTTGCTGGCATCCCCGATCTTCTAAGCATTGGGTTCTGGTAGTACCATCCCCAAATGTCTTCCAACATTGCCAGATGTACTCTGTGGGATGATATTGAAGCAGTGAAGTCACGTTGGTGGTCTGAGTTGCAAATTCCTGGAGAAGCCATCGTTAGCTGGTCTTTCCTGGCATGTCTCACTCCCTGTCATGTGTGTGTCTGTGTGTGTGGATGAGCACATGCGTGAAGGTGACCTCAGAGGCCAGAAGAGGGCATCGGATCCCCTGGGATTGGAGTTACAGGTGGTGTAGAGGTGAATGATATGGGTGCTGAGAAGTGAACTTGGGTCTTCTGCAAGAGCAGGAAGTGTTCTTAGTCATGAGCCATCTTTCCAGCTCCCTTTCCACCAGTTCTTATTAGTATTATTGTTTTTGTTTATTTCTTTGTTCTTTGAGACAGGGTTTCTTTGTGTAGCCTTGGCTGAAGCATGCACCACCACTGCCCTGACACCTTTTTACCAATTTTAAGGGAGAAAGGAAAACACATTGTTTTTTCATTCATTTTGGAATAGGAAGTTATCATTCTTCCATAGTCAGCATGATGGAAATGTGTCACAGTAAATAGTTCCCCCCCATTTCCTTCCCCCAGATCCTGAGTTCTACTTTCCAAAGATAACTCCTCCTTAGCACTCATGGGCACCTTTACAGGGATGATGTCTGGGTACTTAAGAGCTTAGGTATAGATTCTGATTTCTGTTTTGCTTCTTATACAAATGATTATCTGATTTTTTTGAAACTGCCAGCTTCCAATGACATGGAGAATTATTTATTAATTATGAAAGCTTGGCCTTTAGCTTAGGCTTGTTCCCAACTAGGCTCTTATAACTTAAATTAACCTTTTTTTATCAGTCTGTGTTCTTCCACGTGACTTTTTACCTCTCTTCCATTCTGTATGTCTGACTCCTCCCTTGTCTCCATGGCATCTCGCTCATGCCTAGATTCCCACCCCTGAGTTTCTCTCTCTCCCAAAAGTCCCGCCTAACCTCTTTTCTGCTTAGCTATTGGCTGTTCAGCTTTTTATTAAACCAATCAGAAGGCACCTTAGCCAAGACACACCTTCACAGTGTACAAAAAGATTACCCCACAACATGACGGTGTGTGCCTTAGTTACTTTCCTGTTCCTGTGATCAAAGTGACTTATAGACAAAAGGGTTTCTTTTGGCTTAGAATTCCTGAGGGTTAGAGTCCATGATGGTGAGGACGGCATGACGGCAGGTCGTAGACACACGGTGACAGGAACAGAAGCAGAGAGCGCACATCTTCAAACAGAAAACACAAAGCAGCAAGCCAGAAGTGGGAGGGGTATTTTACTCTCAATGCCCGCCTCCAGTGACACACTTCCTCCAGCAAGGCTGCAGCCACTAAACCTCCCCAAACAGCGCCACCCACCGGGGACCAAGTGTTGAAATGCCAAAGACTATGGGGACATTTCTAGTTCAAACCATCGCAGTGTTCAGGTGACAACTTGTCTTGGAGATTGGTCCCATCTTCTACTGAAGAGCTTTCTAATTCACTTTAAGGTGGGTTTGATGTTGTCTCCAACGTGCAGGTGGTAAGGGAGTGTTGGCCATGTGGTTGTTAGAAGATTTCATGAGTTGGTATGGGGGGGGGATTTAAAATTATGTCTCAGTGGGAACACGGAGAGGTGAGGACACCACTAAGACTGAGTTGAGTCCTTAAGCCCCATATGGTGGAAGGAGAGAAATCCATGTAAGTTGTCCTCTGACCTCCACACATGTATGGTGGCATCTCTGTGCTTCCTGGAGGGTTTCCCAGGACACCTCTCAAAATGTAGATTCAAAGTGAATAGGTGTGGGTGGGGTACAGGGAAGCCTGTTTTTCCAGACACCCTCCCCTGCTCCCCAGGCTGCTGGTCCCTGGACCACACTGTGGATGAGCAGGACTTAGATGTGACCTGGATAAACTGACTGTCACTACCACTGTGTGGGCGGATATTCTCCACTCTGTGGCTCTCGCAAATAGGACAACCGTGAGGAACCTGGCTGCAGTCCTTCTCTGCTGAGTGGGTCATGTCTGAACTTGACCCTGCCTGTGGTCCATGTCTTCAACCCGCCCAGTTTAGAGACCTCCCAGATGCCCCCAGCAGTGTGGTGGGTGCCTGCTGCCCCTCCCTCAAGGTTCGGCTCTCACACCTGCCCTTCCTTACCAATGACCCGCAGGATGGCGGCGCCTTGTGTTTAGTAAAGCTTCTCTTCTCCGGAGAGAGACGTGGCGTTTCCCACAGGTGCTGTCTGCAGTCTTTGCTTTCTCCTTTGTGTTGTGTGT